AGCCTTGCTGTGTTTTGTTACGGACCTGGGGGGAGTTGTGACTCGGGAAAACACACACACACTGAAAACACACACAATCCATTTACGTGCGCGCTGTCAATCAACTCATAGAAAAAAAAAGGTTAATAAGTATGTGTTTGTTATGAAAACATGGTTCACACTTGAATGGCAAAAGAAAAAAAGTTTCAGTCGCACTCCGCGACACTCTACCCCACTTGATGCGTTGTCATCCCGACCAACCTTACTGACCTGCAATATCGGGCAGGCTTCACCCTTAGATTGGTCCTTGTGGACCTTCTTGGTTGGTCCTCTGTCCTCGACTCTCCTTGGCCCTGTTGAGGAGGGTTTGTTTGATCCAAGGGTGCTGATGCCCTTTCAGGCACCTCTCCTGGAGGCTCCAGCTGAGCGTTGGGTGCTGGCACCCTTTCAGGCACCTCTCCTGGAGGCTCTGGTTGAGGCCTGGGTGCTGGCACCCTTTCAGGCAGCTCTCCTGGAGGCTCCGATTAAGCCCTGGGTGCTTACACCCTTTCAGACACCTCTCCTGGAGGCTCCAGTTGAGCCTTGGGTGCTTATGCCCTGTCAGGCACCTCTCCTGGAGGCTCCGGTTGAGTCCTGGGTGCTGGTGCCTTCTGTGGCGCATCTGCTGGGAGTGTTGCAGGGTCCTAATCCTTGCTCATTCCAGGGTCCTGATCCTCCCTCATGCGGTACTGTAATCTGAAAGGACAGATTAGAGGAATTCTGCCTGGCCCGTCCCTTCCCCCTCCTTGGTCCCCAGGGCCACTATCACTTTGCCCTTCCTCACTTGTTGGGGCTGACGGCACAACAGGGTAAGGGCATGTTCTCAAATTATTCCTGTGAATTGTCCGTTTTGGTCCTTCCTGTCCTTCAGGTTTAATTCTGTACACGGGGCCATTTGGGAATAAGGGGGCATCTATTACAAAGCGTTCTGGTCTCCATCTTGGGGCCAACTTACCCTGAGCTCTCCAACAAAACCCTCACAAACTTTTACAGATGCACAATTGAGAGCATCCTGTTGGGCTGTATCACCGCCTGGTACGGCAACTGCACCGCCCACAACTGCAGGGCTCTCCAGAGGGTGGTGCGGTCTGCCGAACGCATTACTGTGGGCAAACTACCCGCCCTCCAAGAAACATACAGCACCCGATGTCACAGGAAGGAGAAAAAGATCATCAAGGACATCAACCACCCGAGCCACTGCCTGTTCACCCCGCTATGATCCAGAAGGCAAGGTCAGTACAGGTGCATCAAAGCTGGGACTGAGAGAATGAAAAACAGCTTCTATCTCAAGGCCATCAGACTGTTAAATAGCCATCACTAGCACATTAGAGGCTGCTGCTGCCTATTGAAATCACTGGCCACTTTAAGAATAATAATATGGCAATTAGCAGACGCTTTTATCCAAAGCGACTTACAGTCGCATAATTTTTTTTTGTGTATGGGTGGTCTCAGGGATCAAACCCACTACCTTAGCGTTACAAGCGCCATGCTCTACCAGCTGAGCTTCAGAGGACCACTAGTCACTTTAATAATGTTTACATATCTTGCACTACTCATCTCATATATATATACTGCATTATATTCTATAATATTCTACTGTATCTTAGTCCATGCCGCTCTGTCATTGCTTGTCCATATATGTATATATTCTTAAATCCTATTCCTTACTAGTTTTGTGTGTATTGGGTATATGTTGTGAAATTGTTAGATATTACTTGTTAGATATTACTGCACTGTTGGAGCTAGAAGCACAAGCATTTCACTACACACGCTATAACATCTGCTAAACACGTGTATGTGTCACGCCCTGACTCAGGGGACGTTGATTTGTTGAGTCAGGGTGTGTATATTCCGTGTTATGTTGTGTTTTTCTATGTCTAGTTCTAGATCGTTAAGATCTATGTTGGCCAGGGTGGTTCCCAATCAGAGGCAGCTGTAGCTCGTTGTCTCTGATTGGGGACCGTACTTAGGCAGCCTGTTGGCACCAGTTAGTTTGTGGGATCTTGTTCTGTATAGGTTTGTTTTGTGTAACCTTAAGACTTCACGTATCGTTTGTTTGTTGTTTTGTCGTGTTCAGTACTTAAATAAATATGTACGCTTATCACGCTGCGCCTTGGTTCGACCAGTCATTAAACGATCGTGACAGTATGTGACAAATAAAATTTGATTTGAATTTTAATCGGTAAGGTTGTCTCCATCACCATGTCCACTGGGATACAGGCATGCCTGCCAAACATCACCTAGAAAGGAGACAGACCAGTGGAGTCATTAACACTGTTGTAATAAGCATGGGTCAGCTCAGGGAGTTTGTACACCCAGTAGGTCTGTTCTTCCTCGTCTAGTGAACTTGAAAGGGATACTAGGGTGTGATTGAATCTTTCTACTGACTCATTACCTTGTGGCCAGTAGGTTGTGGTGCAGCTCTTATATGCTCCATACATCTTACTCAGTTCGGCAACAATGGCTGACTCAGAAGCTGCTCCTCGGTCTGAGTGAATGTGCTCAGGACATCCAAAGGGCTGTATTACATGCTGCCATAAAGCCTTAACAGTGGTACTAGCAGTCTGGTCTCTGGTGGCCACCACCCACGCAAACCGAGCGAACACATCCACCATAACCAGAATATAAGGGTGCGTGTCTCCTGGTCACCCAAATGATAGGTAATCAATAGCAATAATCTCTCGTCTAGAGGATAAGAGGTGACAGTGGAAACCAAGGCGGCTCTTACCTCTGGTCTTGCTTTTCATGATAAGACAGTGGCTGCAGTTGTGAATTTGTCAGAAACAGCCCATGTTAGGTCCAATAGTTCCAATTTGAAAGAACTATAGTTCTTGTCATTGCGTTCACTGGGAGATAGGGTTCAGCTTGCACAGGCTATGACATGCTCTGTGCCCTGGTGTCTGAGAAAGGACAGCACCTAGGCCTCCTAGACTAGCATCTGCCTACAGTTTGAATGGTAAGGAGAAGTCAGCACATGCTAGAATAGGGGCACGCACCAGCTTTCCCTTGAGCACCTCGAAGGCCCTCTGACAGGTGTCAGTCCACTCAACCGGGTGGTTCTTCTTTCCCAACTGCGTGGTCCTAGTCAGTAAAGCATTGAGAGGGGCTGCGATGTTAGCAAAGACAGTAATGAACCATCTATAATAGCCCACAAATCCCAATAATGAGCGTATTGAGCGCTCCAATCGTGGATGGCGCCGCTTCACATTCTGCACGAGGGTAATAAGCAGGTGAATCATCCTCAGCTGTGTTCCAACACAGGCCTGTGAAGAGATGCGACTTGGGGAAAAAACACACAAACACTGAAATCCATTTATGTGTATGCTGTCAATCAACTCATAGAAAAAATAGCTAAATAAGCATGCGTTTCTTTTACGAAAACATGGTTTTTAACATGGTTGAATGGGAAAATAAAACAATTATGTCGCACTCTGTGATAAATACACTGATGAAACCCTGCAACATCAATGTCACTGGAGGGTATTCAACAGACATTTACCATTTAATCGACTTGATCTCATCTCATTGCAATATTTGATGTTTGTCTAAATGCCGGATTTTGGAACGATTCATTATGACTTGGAGTGACCTGACTTGTCAAAATTATGACATTAGCTGGTCAAAATAATGACTTCAAGAAGACCAAATCAGTTAAGTTTAGGCAAGGATTCAACTTGGTTAAGGTCCAAGCTAAAAGGTCCAGGCTATGTTATTCACCAGACACTTCTGGGGACGAGGTTAGGAGAGGTTTAAATAGAAAAAGTAGTCCCTGGTCAACAGCCTGCTTTTCCCTAAACAAATCTTTACTTTACAAAGATTTAGTCAACAAATCCGATTCCTTGGAGGGGTTGAGTTTTCACATAACTGCTCACATATTCTGCATTCAATTACAGCAATGTTGTTGTGGCTGTGTTGACATTGCTGATGTAAATATTTAGTCATCTGGTCATCATCGTGACCTTTCATCGTAGTTGACCCCTGGCGGTTTTCTATTTCTCCACTCACTCTTTTCTCCTCCCATATAACTTGTTCCTTCTCTTCTTCCCTCTTTCCCTCCATCCACTCCTCCTGCACTGAAACGTGGGTCTCGTCACTCATCTCGAGCTGACTAGTTCTGGGCGAGGGATTCTGGGGGAGGACAAATGCCCCAGGAGGCCAGGCCTATGTAGCTGGATATGGTTGAATACGACCCCCTCCAGTCATTCACAGGCTCATTAGTTAGATGCGAGTCCTGTGCGCTCTCACTTCTTACGAAGACTAATTTAGCTAACATCAGCATTGAACTAAATGGTCTAAATGGTACAACGCTCCAAAGCCCCTAGGGGGTGGGAGATGGGACATTTTTAAAGTAAGCAGAAATTACTGGCGTCCAAGTCAGCATAATGTTTATCCCACTCCCACTGTATCTGTCGTTACAGTGGGAGTGGGATAGTTAAATTGTCACAGTGAGACCCAGTAGTCAAAATGAATCAGCCATTAATTTCGTATCCAATCGCAACTCATAGTCAGTTGAAACTGAGATGATTATCTTTATTCCTACCCCATCCCTTATCTTCCTCTATAGATGAATATACATTATAATGGTCAATACAGACATATTGCTATGCATCCGAAGCCTCTGTGAAATAAATACGCACGAATATAAAGTTCAGATACAGGAAATCTTTACTGTCCAAATACAGTAATTTGATTGCAGCAGTATACATACAATAGAAATACAAGTATACTACAAATCAGGTAAACAAAAACATAAAAAAGTAGGCAATTGATGAAAGATAACCTTAGCGCTACGGACTACGAAAAGTTTGGGACAGTCACCCAAGGTAATTAGGAAACCATATGTAATTTGGGCGAACTATCCCTTTATGCAAAGACGTTAGCTGCTCCTTTTACCAGTAGGGGTCTCCCTAAAACTATTTACAGAACTACAATTCTGCTTCTCAAACAGATTATACAATGTGCTGGGCCATCTGTTTCAATGGCTAATCAGGGGAATCAGACTCCATTTTCTTCTCTCTGGCCTCTTCACCTCGTATCAGTAAACTCCCCAGTAGAGACCCTGCTGCAGCCCCTATAGTTGTCCCTGTGGCTGCCCTTAGTGGTGCCCTCACAGAGCAAGCCATGGCCCCAACCACTGCCCCCAGTACTGCTGCCCCAACCTTCAGCCATGGTGCTACTCCCTGTTCATCTCCAACACTCTGCTCTCGTCCTGCTGTGTCCCTCTGCCTCTCGTCTTCCTTCTGTGACAACATCTGTGTCTTTCTCAAATGTCTATGTTGAGTCTCTGTAAAAGAGAGCGCATGCATTATGATTTAGCATTAACAATCACCATGTTTTACATTATTTAACTACATTTATAGCTAAATGAGATCTGAAATGGAGCCAATTCACGCACTCACTTAGATAAGATGTGTCCACCATGTCTGCAGGTGCTGTAGATTCCTCTCTGTGTAGTTGCATTCGATCCTCCTTAATCTTCAGATGGTTGATCATGTCTTCTTCACTCACGTTATTCTGATGCTTAATCTCTGTTACCTTTCTCTCAAGCTTTGAAACCTGCCTTTCTTTCATTTCATTCATATGTTTATTCTCTTGTAACTCCTTCTGTAAATCAGCTATTGTGGCATTCAACTCCTCTTCTTTTTCAAACGTTCTCTTTTCCAGGTTTTCTATCTTGTCTCTCAGTTCTTTACTTTCTGTTTTATGCTTCTTCTCCATCTGATCCAATACTCTGTCGTTCTCCACACACATTTGTTTGAGGGCCTCTTTCTCTCGCTCATACTCCATATGTCTCTCTTCTGTCTCCTTTTCTCTCATTGTGCTTCTCTGCTCCATCTCTTTCAACATTCCATCATTCTCCTCATATCTCTTATGTATTTTCTCTACTTTCCTCTCTTTCTCTTCAATCATACTTTTAAGCTTGTTATTCTCCTTCTCTACCTTCTCTAGTCTTCTCCCAATCTCCTCAGAGCTTTTTGTCAACTTCTTGTTGCTCTCCCCGAGCTCCCAGTACATTTTGAGCCAGTGTCCACCATCGTTTCCCACCACTGTCTCCTCAATTTTCTCCAGAAGTTCTTTGACCTGAGGGCCTCCAGCCGTGCTTGTGTTATCAAAGACATGGTACCTGTCACCACATTTTTCAACAAGCCACAGAAGGGCAGGCCATCTCTCGATGTGATGTTCGATGGTTGTGTCTCCAAGCTTGTCTCCCCAGGTGAATAACACTATAGCTTGACTCCAGACTGACCAGCCAATCAGATTCAGTTGTTCTTCTGCTCTTGACCTGTCTGTCTCTGTGAATGTTTCGTCACTGCGTACGACCACGAGGACAGCGTGCGGCTCTGGAGCACAAAGAGATGCACCTTGGGTAATCTGAAGTCTTACTTCTTCAGGAGTATCCTCAGTGCAGTATCGCCCATGCCACCCGGGTGTGTCCACCACTGTGACTTGCCTTACGGCGATGTCACCCTGTCTCTTCACACTGTGAGAAGTCGTGTGTCCAGCCTCAAAGTTTTCCTTACCCAAGATGCTATTTCCAGATGAGCTCTTCCCAACCCATCGCGGTCCCACTATGATGATTCTCTGCTCAGCTTCAGATAGTTGGTGGGACTTACCTGAATGGGAGATATTTATTTTAGATAACATAATCTATTTCCATGATTTCATATATCGCACCGAACCAATTAAAATATAAGGGTAAAGGTTTGGGGGAAATCATTAGGTAAAAAAAATATATATATATATTTAGAATTTTTTTGATCCTCACCCCTGAGCAGAGATCTGAGTGTTTCCCTCTGTCTCTGAACCTTCATCCGTCTCAGGCTCGCCCTCTCATCCTCTGCCGTCCTCTTAACTTCAATTGCCATTGAAAACCTCTCATTCATGACAACATAACCAGGATCACCTGCCACCATTTTATCTATCTTCCTCAGCAGCTCTGGGACCTGAGTGACATCATCGCACCATGTGTTGGCCTTAGTGTTTAAAGCATGGTACCTATGCCCACACTTCCCCACCATCTCCTGGAGAAACCCATGTCTCGCTATGTGATCCTCTAGTGACATTCCCCTGAGTTTCTCACATCTGGTAAACACTACCATAATGTGTCTCCAGACTGTGTGGTTTAAAAGCTTGAGGGGGCCCTCTACTGTCCATTCCCTGCCTTTGCGTGGGTTCAAAGGGATGACCATGAGGAAGACATGGGGACCTGGTTGACACATGGACATACTGGCTTCTATGTTACGGTGGACAAGGAGAGGGTCCTGCACGGAGTACTGGATGCATCTGTCTGGTGTGTTGACCACAGTGACCTGCCGGCCGTTCACTAGACTCTGTCTCCTCACACACATCTCCACGTCCCTCCTGGTGTCAAACAGCTTCCTGTCCAGGATGGTGTTTCCTGTTTGACTCTTCTCCAGCCAATCCCTCCCCAGGAGGATGATTCTCAGCTCAGGGAGACTACGCTGGTCCCCTACTAGAGAGAAGAGGGCATGTTTTATAAAATATAACACACTTGAATTTAGGCATTACAGTATGACCAAATTTCCAATATATGACCAATATTTTAGCTAGAATCAACATAACATATTACTATTGATGACTAGGCCTATAAATACAATGTGAGAAAACTATAAACAATGCACTGAAAATGTAAGCTTAGATATAACTCAGTAACTGACCATTCTGTCTCTTTGCTCTGGAAGCCATTTAGAACCTCTCTCTCCCTTTGTTGGACTTCACTGAAGTATACTCATTCAACCCTGCTATCATTTCCATTATCTTTCGTTTTGACATGCTGGTCATGTGGGCGCTCAACAGTCAAAGTCCAATTTCTCCTGACTGTAATATAACTCCACCCACATTGCTGATAAATGACAATTAGTTCATTAAAGATAGCACATCTTCATAAAGCTAATTACATTGACTGACAGACACAGTTATATACAGACTTGTCGGAATGTATTTAGACCCCTTGACTTTTTCCACATTTTGGTAAGTTACAGCCTTATTCTAAAATTGATTAAATCGTTTTTTCCCCTCATCAATCTACATACAATACCCCATAATGACAAAGCAGAAACAGGATTTTAGACATTTTAGCTAAAAAAAATTACAAATATTAAACGGAAATATCACATTTACATAAGTATTCAGACCCTTTACTCAGTACTTTTCTAAAGCATCTTTGGCAGCGATTACAGCCTCGAGTCTACTTGGGTATGACGCTACAAGCTTGGCACACCTGTATTTGGGGAGTTTCTCCCATTTTTCTCTGCAGATCCTCTCAAGCTCTGTCAGGTTAGATGGGGAGCATTGCTGCACAACTATTTTCAGGTCTCTCCAGAGATGTTAGATCGGGTTCAAGTCCGGGCTCTAGCTGGGCCACTCAAGGACATTCAGAGACTTGTCCCGAAGCCACTCCTGCTTTGTCTTGGCTGTGCGCCTCACAGGTCCTCAACTGGCAGCTTCATTAAATAGTACCCGCAAAACACCAGTCTCAACGTCAACAGTGAAGAGGCGACTCCGGGATGCTGACCTAGGAAGAGTTGCAATGAAAAAGTCCAGTGTCTGTGTTCTTTTGCCCATTTTAATATTTTCTTTTTATTGGCCAGTCTGAGATATGGCTTTTTCTTTGCAACTCTGCATAGGTCAGCATCCCTGAGTCACCTCTTCACTGTTGACGTTGAAACTGATGTTTTGCGGGTACTATTTAATGAAGCTGCCAGTTGAGGACCTGTGAGGCGCCTGTTTCTCAAACTAGACATTCTAATGTATTTGTCCTCTTGCTCAGTTGTGCACCTCGGCCTCCCACTCCTCTTTCTATTCTGGTTAGAGCCAGTTTGCAAGACTTTCTGGAGTCACTGAAGGCTTTAAAGCTTAAATAATAAAGAGCTGAGTTTGAAATCCAGTGTACAGTATTTTCTTCAGATACAGTTGAAGATTGTACTGAAGAGACCCGCTCCCTTCAACCTGCTTGTGCAAGAGATCTATTATTATCTGTGTTTTCCCCCCTCCTTAGTGAAAGCGCCATTTAGACATGGTGGTGTCAAAGTGAGATTTGATAGTTGATTCTCAGTTTGTCATTCAAAAGGTCTATTTTTGCCAAAGCATGTGAGCAAATGATCTGCTAAATACAATTATAATTTAAAAGTCAATACAACATATTCATAATTTATATTTATATTAAATACAACTCTTCATAGTTTGGGACACATGTAAGTAGTCCAAGTCTATGGTAGGACTTGCATATAAACCATGGGTATTTGTAACACATGGGTGTTTCAATGTGATATGGCTATGTGAAGGGGGTGACTAATACAGTGCCTTGCCAAAGTCTTCAGACCCCCTGGATTCATTTTATTGTGTTACAATGTGGGATTAAAATTGATTTAATTGTCATTTGTTTAATCAATAATTTACAAAAACGAATATTTAATGTCAAAGCTGAATTATTATTATTTTTTAAGATAAATAAAATAATCATAACTAAAATATAGTCGTTGCATAAGTGTTCAGCCCCTTTGTTTAGGCAAGCCTAAATTAGTTCAGGAGTAAAATCTAGCTTAAAAAATGACATAAATTACATGGACTCACTGTGCAAAATAATAGGGGTTGACATAAAAAAAAATTATGACTAACCCATCCTCTGTCCCCCATACATACAACATCTGTATGTTCCCTCAGTCAAGTATTGCATTTCAAGCACAGATTCAACTACAAATAAAAGGGAGCTTTTCGAAAGCCTCATAAACATTTACATTTACATTTTAGTCATTTAGCAGACGCTCTTATCCAGAGCGACTTACTTAAAGAAGTGCAGTGATTGGTAGATGTGTAACAATAACAAATCAGACATTGAATATCTCTTTAAGAATGATCAAGCTAATAATTATGCTTTGGATTATGTATTAAACCACCCAAACACATCAAGGATACAGTTGTCCTTCTGAACTGAGCTGCAGGAAAGGAATGAAACTGCTCAAGGATGTTACCTTGAGGCCATTTGTGATTTTAATCAGCTACAGAGTTCAATGGCTGTGAGAGGCATCATGGTATTGGTGTGCTTGACATCGGCAAATACTGGAGAGTTTTTCAGGATAAATAGAAACGGAATGGCGCTAATCACAGACAAAATCCTAGAGGAAAACCTGGTTCAGTCTGCTTTACACCAGAGACTGGGAGAGGAATTCACGTTTCAGCAGGACAATAACCTATACAATGCAAGGCCAAATCTACACTGGAGTTGCTTACAAAGAAGAGAGTGAACGTTCCTGAGTGGCCAAGTTACAGTTTTGACTTAAATCTCCTCGAAAGTCTATGGCAATACTTGAAAATTGCTGTCTAGCCATGATCCCCAACATCTTGACAGAGCTTGAAGAATTTTGAAAAGACTAATTGGAAGATATTGCACAATCCAGGTGTGCAAAGCTCTTATAGACTTACCCAAGAAGACTCACAGCTGTAATAGAATCCAAAAGTGTTTCTAACATGTATTGACTCAGGAAGCTGAATACTTATGCAAAGACTATATTGTAGTTATTTAATTTGTATTATCTTTTTTTTAAAGATTATTTTGTGTAGATTGTTGACAAAAAAAATCACAATTAAACCCATTTTAATCCCACTTTTAAGTGAACAACCTTTAAAACGGTCAGATTTCAGTTTCAAATTTTTAACATTACTTAATTCTTTAGTTTCGAGAACTTGAACAAAAATAAGAAAATTAGACATTACAGCAGTGCCATGTATTCATGGATTCCAGGCTTCCCCCCAAAATACATAAAAATACATAAAATCATGTATCTTTCGTCTCTCTGTGTTTCATAATTTTCCTTCAATTCGCAAGAGGCGGAATGTATCTTACAGGAGAAAGCATCCAAGCAAGCGAAACAGTGCCCCTCTGTCTCTCTATGTGTAGGCCATATATCTGATGCTGTCTGGTCCAAACGAGTATGACATTGTTGCCAACGACTCATGGTGTAATTGTAACAACATACAGGAACTCAAGTAATTTTGTTCACCTGACCTAGAATTCCTCACAATCAAATGCCGACCGTATTATCGCCCAAGAGAATTCTCTTCGGTTATTGTTACAACCGTGTATATCCCCCCTCAAGCCGATACCACGACGGCCCTCAAGGAACTTCACTGGACATTATGCAAACTGGAAACCATATACAGTGCGGGAAAAAAAGTATTTCATCCCCTGCTGATGTTGTACGTTTGCCCACTGACAAAGAAATGATCAGTCTATAATTTTAATGGTAGGTTTATTTGAACAGTGAGAGACAGAATAACAACAACAAAATCCAGAAAAACGCATGTCAAAAATGTTATAAATGGATTTGCATTTTAATGAGGGAAATAAGTATTTGACCCCCTCTCAATCAGAAAGATTTCTGGCTCCCAGGTGTCTTTTATACAGGTGACAAGCTGAGATTAGGAGCACACTCTTAAAGGGAGTGCTCCTATTCTAAGTTTGTTACCTGTATAAAAGACACCTGTCCACAGAAGCAATCAATCAATCAGATTCCAAACTCTCCAACATGGCCAAGACCAAAGAGCTCTCCAAGGATGTAATCCCATAGAAAATATGTGGAGGGAGCTGAAGGTTTGAGTTGCCAAACGTCAGGCTCGAAACCTTAATGACTTGGAGAAGATCTGCAAAGAGGAGTGGGACAAAATCCCTCCTGAGACGTGGGCAAACCTGGTGGCCAACTACAAGAAACGTCTGACCTCTGTGATTGCCAACAAGGGTTTTGCCACCAAGTACTAAGTCAGGTTTGCAGAGGGGTCAAGTACATATTTCCCTCATTAAAATGCAAATCAATTTATAAAATTTTTGACATGCGTTTTTCTGGATTTTCTTTTGTTATTCTGTCTCTCACTGTTCAAATTAACATACCATTAAAATTATAGACTGATCATGTCTTTGTCAGTGGGCAAACGGACAAAATCAGCAGGGGATAAAATACTTTTTTCCCTCACTGTATCCTGAGGCTGCATTTATTGTAGCTGGGGATTTTAACAAAGCAAATTTGAGAGAAAGGCTACCTAAATTCTATTAGCATATTGACTGCACTGGAATGCTGGACCATTGTTAGACTCATTTCCGCTATGCATACAAGGCCCTCCCCAGCCCTCCTTTCGGCAAATCTGACCACGACTCCATTTTGCTCCTCCCTTCCTATAGACAGAAACTCAAACAGGAAGCATCCGTGCTTTGGACTATTCAACGCTGGTCTGACCAATCGGAATCCACGCTTCAAGATTGATTTGATCACGAGGACTGGGATATGTTCCGGGTAGCCTCTGAGAATAATATAGACGTATACGCTGATTCGGTGAGTGGGTTTATAAGGAAGTGTATTGGAGATGTCGTACCCACTGTGACTATTAAAACCTACCCTAACCAGAAAAAGTGTATAGATTTGCGAAAAACTGAAAGCACGAACCACCGCATTTAACCATGGCAAGGTGACGGGGAATATGGCAGAATACAAACAGAGTGGTTGTTTCCCTCCGCAAGGCAATCAAACAGGCAAAACGTCAATATCGAGACAAAGTGGAGTCGCAATTCAACGGCTCAAGCACAAGACGTATGTGGCAGGGTTTACAGACAATCCCGGACTACAATAGGAAAACCAGCCACGTCTTGCTGACGTCTTGCTGCCAGACAAGCTAAACAAGTTCTTTGCCCGCTTTGA